TCACTCTGTCACCCAGGCTGGACTACACTGGCATGCTCACGGCCACTGCTAAGCTCAGGTGATCCTTCTGCCTCAGCCTTCCAAGTAGCTGGAACTACAGGCACATGCCACTACTCTCAGCTAATTTTTTGGTTTATTGTAGAAAAGAGGTCTCACCAAGTTGCCCAGGCTGGTCTCAAACCCCTGGGCTCAGTCAATCATCTTGCCTCCACCTCCCAAAGTGCTGGGATTACACGCTTGATCCATCATGCCCGGCTGATATGTGACTTTTGATGGCATCCTTCACTTAACATATTTTTAAACTTTGTCCATGCTATAGTAGGTATCAGAACTTCATTCCTGCTCTTGGCTGAATAATATTCCATTGTATGAAGAAACCGTCTTTCGTTTTGTTTTGTTTGGGCTTTTTTGGTTTTTTGAGTCCGGGCCTTGCTCCAGGCTGGAATGGAGTGGCATAATCAAGGCTCAACACAGCCTCGACCTTCTGGGTTCAGGTGATCCTTCTTCCTAAGCCTCCTGAGAAGCTGAGACTACAGGCGCATGCCACCATGCCTGACAAATGTTTCTTTTTAATTTTTTTTTTGTAGAAACAAGGTCTTACTGTGCTGCCCAAGCTTGCCCTGTACCTTTTGCAGTCACCTCTAGACTCTTCAAGTTAAGCTGCATTTTATCTCTTTCAACAGTAAGAATTGTGATTAGGCTGGGTGCGGTGGCTCACGTTTGTCATCCCAGCACTCTGGGAGGTGGAAGCGAGAAGATTGCCTGAGCTCAGAGATTCAAGACCAGCCTGGGCAACTTGGTGAGACCTCGTCTCTAAAATAAATCAAAAAATTAGCTGGGCATGGTGGCGCACGCCTGTGGTTCCAGCCACTTGGGAAGCTGAGGTGGAAGAATCGCCTGAGCCCAGCAGGTTGAGGCTGCGGTGGTTGTGAGCGTACTGCTGCCCTTCAGCCTGGGCGACAGAGTGAGACTCTGAATCAGAAACCAAAATAATAAATAAATAAATAAATGAAGGAAGGAAGGAAGAAGGAGAAAGAGAGAAAGATTTTTTTAAAAAGAGGCTCAGGTGTGGTGGTTCATGCCTATAGTCCTAGCACTTTGGGAGGCTGAGGTCAGGAGTTCGAGACCAGTCTGGGCAATATAGCAAAACCCCGAATCTACGAAGAAAAAGAAAGAAAGAATATGCCTCTTGTCTTTAGACTCTGATGCCCTTGAAGGCAAGGGCTGGGATGGATTCGTTCTTGTGTTTCCAAAAATGGCACTGATCCCAGAAGTTGCGAAGTCCCTTCTTTCCCCGTGAGAAAGAAGAGCGTTCTCGGCAGGGACACGTGGGACAGACAGATGTGGACTTGGCTCCTGGCATCCCCTAGAAATGTGTCTTTCTGCCCCCAGGACAGTGACCTGGAAGGAGACCGGGTGTGAGTCATCCAAGGAAGCCCGGGTCAAGCCAGGGAGGATCAGGCTAGGGACATCTTCCCTCCCTCCTGCCTTGTCACTATTTTTGTGCCTCCCCCACCCTCAGATGCACCCACGCGGCCTCCCTCTCTGTCCCCTGAGCCTCCACTCCAGCTTATTGTCCTCCCTTGGGTCTGCATTCCACAATGACATGGAAGGATCCTTTGTAACCCACATGGGGGAAGTGGGGAGGGGCACCGTGGATCACACCCACCATCCCAGCACTTTGGGAGGCCAAGACGGGAGCATTGCTTGAGCCCAAGAGTTCCAGGCCAGCCTGGGCAACATAGTAAGACCCCCATCTCTATAAAAGCAATTATTTGGTTTTTTTGGTTTTTTAAATAAAAACAAAAATTTTTAAATAAAAAAATTATCTGGGCGAGGTGCTGCAGGCCTGTAGTCCCAGCTACACTGCACTCCAGCCTGGACAACAAGTGAGACCACTCAACTCAAAAATAAATACGTACAGCCAGGCATAGTGGCTCACACCTGTCATCCCAACACTTTGGGAGGTAGAGGCAAGAGGATTGCCTGAACTCAGGGGTTTGAGACCAGCCTGAGCAACATGGCAAGACCTCATCTCTACAAAAAATTAGGCCAGGCGTGGTGGCTCATGCCTGCAATCCCAGCACTTTGGGAGGGTGAGGTGAGAGGATTGCCTGAGCCCACGGGTTCAAGACCAGCCTGGGCAACATGGCGAGACCTCATCTCTACAATAAATCAAAAAATTAGCTGAGCACAGTGGTGCGTGCCTGTAGTTCCAGCTACTTGGAAAGCTGAGGCAGAAGAATCACCTGTCTAGCAGGTCGAGGCAGCAGTGGCTGTGAGCGGGTCTCTGCACTCCGGCCTGGGCAACAGAGTGAGACTCTGACTCAAACACAAAACAAAACAAAAGAAAGAGAGAGAGACAGAGATAGAGACAGAGAGAGACAAAGAGACAGACAAGAGAGAGACAGAGAAACAGAAAGACAAGAGAGAGATAGACAGAAACATAGAGCGAGACAGAGAGAGACAAAGACAAGAGAGACAGAGAGAGAAACAGAGAGACAAGAGAGAAAGAGACAGACACACATACACACACACACACACACACACACACACACACACACACACACACACAC